TTCCCCACTTAATGGAAGCCAGCTTCAACAAAACCTCATTTTCCAGTTCCTGATGAAGAGCCAATAAAGACTCGAAAGCTTGAACAGAAACAAGAGTACACTTTGTTTTTCTTTGACTGCATACCCGAAGGAAATCGACAGTTTCATCCTTAACTTAGACAGTCGTCTAATCCTCTCCTCTATCTATCTATCTATCTATCTATCTATCTATCTATCTATCTATCTATCTATCTATCTATCTATCTATCTATCTATCTATCTATCTATCTATCTATCTATATAATTTTTTATACAAATACGAGTAACAGATTGCATTCTGGTGGAGATGCGTACTAAAGGATGGCGCTGCTGAATAGGCTTTGGAATTTCGAGAAAACATTGATGATGACTGAAATGATACGTCAAAGTACATTGAAACTACGTTGTATGATACACATAACTAAAGAATAAATCTTCGAAACAGTTTCTTTTGGAGAGGTTCCAATTAATATTCAATAATTATCAGAATTTCTCAGTGAACAGCATATGAGTAAGTGATAGCAGTATTGATATATTTTTTGCTTGTTTCTATACAGGGTAAATACCCAGTAAACACAAACATCCCTGGGATGTCACATTCATGGCGCTCTAGGTAACAATGCGAATTACAAGAATACAACATTGGTACTGCCAGGGGAATCTTTCTTTTACAACACATTCGCAATATTCGTCACATTTCATTGCATGGATTTGAGACTCAAAACGTAGGTGAATTTGTGGGGCTTCCTAACAACTAACACTGGAACCTCACATTCTTGACTAGTTATGTATCAAACGGAATCAATCAATTTTGATGTTGAATGAGGAGTCGCTTGATATACGTTCTGTGAGTTTCATTTGGCATCATATAATGTGAATCATAAAATGTCCAAAAGGGTCCGGAATAGCAGTCTTTGTGATTTCAGTGGGATTCCCATTTCGAGTCACGGATGTGATGTGTGGCATGAATGCCATGCCCTCTTATATCTGGGATCAATCTGTGTTAATGTGTAATTCACCTAAGTATATTATTAATTGGAAATACTTCAACTATAGAATCCTGAGCTAAAAATATAAGGTTTTAATCCAAATCACTCAGATGGAATGTTTATGTGTCGTGTTTGAGTTACAGGATGTTCCATCTGAAAGATGATTTGTGCCTAGTACTTCAAAACTAATTGACGTCTTGCTGTCATATTTGGCAGGAAGTGTAGATTCCATTCACCATATATACTACTGAATTATGTAAAATGAACGTTTCTGTCCACTAACAGAGGCGTACAACAGGGGCAATAAACTGACTGGTTGTGCCTTCCCTAATTCTACGCCATTGGTGGAATTACAGTTCTATCACAATTTTTCGATTCTCTTTGAAGCGATAAAGTCATTATTTTTCGAGATATTACAAGTTGAACATGAAGCTGCACGATTATTTAGTTTTTGATGTTGTTCTGGATCATTGGATTGCATTCCTTAGGCAAATGGAACTTCAATCCATATTAACGAAAAAAACATACAATAACATTTTGTCTAGATTGATTTGGGTTGATCGAATCCATATTTGGAGGAGGATTTTATAACTGAAATATATTTCCAATCAGTAATGAAACACACCCTCTGTATGAGTAATCTTTAACTATCTATTAGTTTTTGCTATTTTCAATGTCGCATCCATGTGTGCCCTTTTTGATGCCATTTGTTGGTTCCCACCATGAGTTTCAATGAAAAAGGTTTCCCGGGGAATTTTCAAATTTAAAATCCTTCACTATACATATATATGTTTCCTAATTACGGTTCCTAACTGCAGGTGGTGATTCGTTAGGTCATTTTAGGAAGAAAAGTTTTTATTAACATAATTATGTCCGGAGTCGCTTCGTTTCTGAGATACAGGGCGTTGATGAAATTAAAGAAAAAAAAACGGTAATTATAATATATCATGGATATCCTAGAACCGATTTGGTTGAAATTTTGGACTTTTATTTGAACTGATAAGGCGCTCATTTAGCCCTATTTAGATTGAAATTATTGGGGCCAGTGGCGTCTCAGTGGACACCACAGCCAACAATATTGTGAAAAAAAGTACGCCACTGACTTGTTTTGGTGAATTTTTATCCTTTTTTAGATTGAGCAACTCAAAATACAACTTTTTTGTTTTTTTGTATTTTCTTCCTATCCAGCTTCGTTTTCGAGAAAAAATTCAAATTCACTGTATATTGCATATCATGAACACCTGCATTGGAGAAATGAGTTTTCCATTATTTCCGCCAAAAATATAATTGACACTTGATATGCTGAAATTTTAGGAGATTTGACAAATAAAAGAACCAAATTTCAACTAAATTGGTTCCGGGATATTCATGATATTTTATAATTACCGTTTTTTTTTCTTCAATTTCTACGCCCTGTATCTCAGAAACGGAGCAACTCCGGGCATATGATCATGGGAAATTTTCTTCTTGAAATGACCTAACAAATCACCCCCTGCCGTTAGAAACCGTGGTTAGGAAACATCCTGTATATGTCCGGAACAATAACCCAGCCAACACATCTGTGACATGACATCTCTGAGATGTCGCGCCTAGGTAACAGTGCGATATCACAAACGTTCTATCGCTGCGATGTTCATAAATTGACACATCTGCGACATGACATCTCTGAGATGTCGCGTCTACGTAACAGTGCGATATCACAAACGTTCCATCGCCGCGATGTTCATAAGCAAACACTTTTGCGACATGACATCTCTGAGATGTCGCGATGAGGCAACACTGCGATATCACGAATGTTCTATCGCTGCGATGTACATCAGCAAACATCTGCGACATGGCATCTCTGAGATATCGCGATGAGGCAACACAGCGATATTACCAATGTTTCATCGCTGCGATGTACTGAAGCAAACACATCTGCGACATGACATCTCTGAGATGTCGCGATGAGGCAACAATGCGATATTACGAATGTTCCATCGCTGCGATGTACAGAAGCAAACACATCTGCGACATGACATCTCTGAGATGTCGCGATGAGGCAACACTGCGATATTACGAATGTTCTATCGTTGCGATGTACATAAGCGAACATCTGCGACATGGCATCTCTGAGATATCGCGATGAGGCAATACTGCGATATTACGAATGTTCCATCGTTGCGATGTCCTGAAGCAAACACATCTGCGACATGGCATCTCTGAGATATCGCGATGAGGCAACACAGCGATATTACGAATATGTCATCGCTGCGATGTACAGAAGCAAACACATCTGCGACATGACATCTCTGAGATGTCGCGATGAGGCAACACTGCGATATTACGAATATCATATCGCTGCGATGTACAGAAGCAAACACATCTGCGAAATGACATCTCTGAGATGTCGCGATGAGGCAACACTTCGATATTACGAATGTTCTGTCGCTGCGATGTACGAGTAATACAATATTCGAATTTCGCATAGTCCGTAGATCCGTCCAAGGTTGCCGATATCATTTTATCCTCGCGAGAATTCCGCATGTATTTTTGAGCTCGATTATGAGACAGGATGAATACAATAGCGAAACAGTTCACTTAAGTCGCTGATCAAATTTAATTGAAGCTACCTCGTTTCGGAATCGTTCTACACCGCTTCGTTCAAGGAATCTACCTCGATCAAAAAGGAGATTGTGGCAACACTGGTCGTGACTCGTGACAGTCGTGACACTGGAACTTGACAGTTGACACTGAAGGTATTTTATAAGCGTCGTTTCCGTTTCATCATAGATTAAACAAATGTTTGTTTAATCTATGGTTTCATCATCGTTTCGTTTCACGGCACACGGCACCGGCACGCTGTTCAGTGTTCCTGTTTGTAGTAGAAGAGTTAAAAGCCGGGGTGAGTATAAATGAATTTTCATTTTTCACTTGGAAATTGGAATCACTTGGAACTTGAAACCATGTCAAGGCAATCCTTTTCATCTTACTCATATCGTCATAAGAGACGAATTATAATGGAAATATCTGGTATTTTGAATATATATATCTGATCATGGTAGTCCAAACAATTATTCATCTGTCTCTGACGCCGCCTGTGCATTAATGGATTCTTCAGGAAACATGAGAGCTGATGCTGAAATTTTCTCAGAATTTGTTTCTGAGGAAGGAGTTGCAGCAGATGACAATGATGTGATAATTTCTACTAAAGCCTCGACTAGAGCTAATAATTATATTATATATATATATTTATAAAATGTTGTCCAAATGTGATGTCCAGAAACGATAAGAAATAACATGGATTTCATAACTTTTATATTTTTTGTTGGAGAATCACCTCTCATTTTTTGTTTTGTTCATTGTATATTGAAAATAAATGTTTATTTATATTTTTTTTATCAGACTTTTCTTCCCTCACATTTTTTCCTACATATTACCTCATCTCTGCGTAATAAATGTACATCGCTGTAATGTCATAGGTTTACATCCCTGCGATGTCATATGTATACATCCCTGCAATGTCATATGTATACATCCGTGCGATGTCATATGTATACATCCCTGCGATGTAATATCGCATCACTTGGTAGATTCATCGCAAAAACACTTCGCTTTGTCATCACAAATAACATATCGCAATTACATTGCAAAAAATATATCGCTGTCATATCGCAGAGAAGTTATCGCAGTGATGTCGCATCTAGGAAACTTGAGTGGGACAAAATAACATCCCCCTGACATCGCAGCGACGTCTATGCGACATGGAATGCGATATCGCAGGTCACCATTGTTACATCGCTGCGATATCTCTGTGATGTATCTGTGTTTGCTGGGAAGTACCAATTTTTGATGTGTTCATCACATTGAATATGTCGTGGAGATTACTTCGTGTATATCATTTAGTATTTATCTATTAGTGTATTTTTCTCATTTCTATTGTATAAGGCAGGAACATGACGACATCCAATTGAAATTTTGATTTGTCAGCGAAAGAAGCATGATGATACTCACATTGAACTTTCACAACGGCAGGTGCTTCTATAACCCCAAGAGCACTGGCAGCGATACATGTATAATTCGCGGATTCCTGGATATTACTCAGCTCTAGAGTATTCTTTCCAATGGGCAGTTTATCTTCAGGAGTTAGCTCCTGAGTTAGCCCTTTTCGCCACTTCACAAACGGCATTGGAGATCCGACAGCAACGCAGGTGAGATTCAGATCGTCTCCTAATTTAACTTCATTTATCGATGGTGGCGGTATAGAAAATTGGGGCGGCACACGTCGAACTGAAAATACGAAATGTTCATCAGATTGCACCATACCTTTTCAAGTTCAAATTGAGACTCATCAATTTCAAATTGGAATAGAACACATATCCAAACTGGTGAACAAATTCAAAATGAGAAATAAACACAATCAAATTAGGGATGATAATTTTCAAGTTCAGAATAAATAAAACAGTTTGAAATTGAAATTATCATATTCAAGTTAATTAATACAGTCAATTGAAGGTGCATCGCCTTCCACAGCAGCTTCTTGCTGCTAGCTTTTCGCGGTGAGCCAAATAGAATATCTCCAAATTTAGCTGCCGCTTTCTCAAGGTCATGATGCTTGATGTTAGTTCAAGTTCCACTTTTCAATGGCAAATATAGTTTCCCATCTTTGTCAGCCAAATAGAGTTTCTTCAAATTTAGCTGCCGCTTTCTCAAGGACATGATGCTTGATGTTAGTTCAAGTTTCACTTTTCAATGGCAAATATAGTTTCCCATCTTTGTCAGCCAAATGGAGTTTCTCCAAAATTAGCTGCCGCTTTCTCAAGGTCATGATGCTTGATGTTGCGTCAAGCTTCACTTTTCAGTGGCAAATATAGTTTCCCATCTTTGTCAGCCAAATAGAGTTTCTCCAAATTTAGCTGTCGCTTTCTCAAGGTCATGATGCTTGATGTTGGTTCAAGTTTCACTTTTCATTGGCAAATATAGTTTCCCATCTTTGTCAGTCAAATAGAGTTTCTTTAAATTTAGCTGCCGCTTTCTCAAGGTCATGATGCTTGATGGTGGTTCAAAGTTTCACTCTTCAGTGGCAAATATAGTTTCCCATCTTTGTCTTATTTGATGATATGCTATTTCAGAAAATAGCTGAGAGAATGTCTGTCAAAGTTATTCAAACTGTGACAGCAGAAATATTAGTACAATTGGTATATTAATATATTGAATTGCGGCTAATTGGATATTCGAAAAGGCGACTTCATCCCCTTTATTTGCTTCAAATTTCAACTCGTTATCATGCACATGACGGAAGTATGTGCGGAATAATAGCAGCAAATGAATCGCTGTGCCGTGAATAATTTGGCTCAGACTGAGGAGTGACACAGGTGGGTTTTTGAAATCTACCATCCATCAATTGGTATCGGATGGCATAATTCTCATCTCGTTATCAAATCGCGAAATCGAGTGAACATTTTCGCACAGGAAAGTGCAATTTTTCAATCATATTGCTCAGGATAGTGAGATGCCGTTCGATAATCTACGATGGTTTTACATGCCTTTGGGACATATATATATATATATATCATTTCGTTATCAGATGACGGTAGAAATTTGCAGACGGCTCTTGGACTACAAGCAGTTGATACTGAGCCAGGGAGAATTTGTTATCTGACACGAAGTATCTAAGGTTTGAAACAATCACCTAGGCAATGGAATCAAAAACTGCTATCAGTTCTTCAACAGAGACCTGTTGTACAATCTTCGGACGATCCGTGTATGTTCGTGTCTGGAAGATTATAAACAGATAGTTGCAATGTATGTAGATGATTTATTGATACTCGCATCTGAAGAATGTGAAATTTTAGCTATTCGATGTTTACTCAGTAAAAATTTCGAAATAACTTCATTTCATTGAAAACCAAAATTCGTGCTATTCGCGATAGAAAATAAGCTTACGCCACCTATCGGAGTTGATGAAAGCTGCCGAAGCGGCCTGTTCACTTCGTTTTGATTGGTTCACAGTTGTTTTTTGTCAATGCTTATTGGTCATATCATCAAAACAAACCGCTCAGAAGTGTTCAAGTTGTTACCGTCAGGTAGGGCGACGTGTTCCCAGGCAACTAGATGACGTTTCAGTTTTCAGTGACGTATTTTTTACATCACTCGAATAACCAAGGTGACATCAGTAGTTGACGTTGCATTGAAGTGATGATGACGTGAATAAGTCACAGCTCAATGACGTCATTCACTCACCAAACTGTGACGTCCGACTGACGTCATAATGACGTCAAAATGACGATTGAATTTGGAGATGATACGTAGAAAAGATTCCTTCAACATGGTGTGATTAACACCACTCTAGCCTCTGATGACATTATATAATATTGATTATGCATTGTTGAGTCTGCTTGCTTAGTCGTATTTGTATAAAAAATTATGTAGTTTGTGTCGGCCAGATGTAAACAAACAAAGATTAGTTTGATAGCAATGGAAAGGATGTTGGCGAATTTGGCTTCACTTTGTTGAATAATGTATATTGATGCATTATTCGTCACCCAACAAAAATCTAAATAGTAAATTATTGAAAAATTTACTAAATCACGAAGCTCACCAAATTGGTACGTCACACCGACGTGATTTTTAGATGTCATCGATACGTCACTGCAACGTTATAAGAGTAACGGTTTCAATATAGGTATACCTGAACAATCATTTTTATATATACATAGCTTGTTGGTTTCTGAGATATACAGTGTGTCAAAGTTTTTTAGAAAAAAGTTTTTCCACTACTTTTCGGGTATATTAATAATTCGAATAAAACTTGCATGTTGATTCGCTTTCATTAGTTATACTTCTGTTTCACATGATAATATACAAGTATCCATGGTTTAGAGAAGGTCTGGGAAAAATGGACGTCGACAGGACGTCCCTGCAACGTCATGAAAATGACGTCTTCTTTTACCCAACTAAGTGACGTTCACTCGACGTCATAGTGACGTCATAAATTGGTGTGTGACGTCTCTGACGAAAAATCACCAATCAGGGACGTCACAGTGACGTGATCATTCGTCATCTGGTTGCCTGGGTTATTTTCTATCGCCAATTCTTTCAAATAAATTGGTATGACAATTATTTGACAATATGTCAAGAGATTTGAATAATAGAATTCTCGATAAATATGGCATGGTGGATCGTGGTTCTATTTCCTATAAAGCTAAACTAACTGACGTAAGGATGAATAAACAAGAGTATCAATTCAAAGTAGGAAGCTTACTGTTGGAACAAGGCCAGATATAGCTTATACCAGTTTTCTAGTGACCCGAACACCATACAAATGGAAATCTAGTACAGCACCTGTTAGGGCATATGAAAGTCACCATAGGGATGAGGCTATTTTACAAGAAAACTGGTTCAGCTCTGATCGTATTTATTCAGATGCATATCATATGTTAGTTCCATATCTGACTGACGCTCTATAACTATATGTTGGTTGTTGTTTCCTTGCTCAGAATAACCGTCTGGTCAATAAATAAGAATTATTTTGTCTTTGAAGATTTATTGACGTTTTGTGACTTTTTTCAACAACCTAATAATTCAACCATTTTTCGAATATAAAACAATCAATCCATGAAAACAAAACAATGTGCATTTCATACAAGGTCCGTTTCTATCTGGGCTCGCATATTCTCCCTCTTGCTAAAGAAACTAGGTTTCTTCTAGCTCCAAACGGCGAATTTTTGTTACCGTTCGGGTGTATTCAGAAGTTGCAGTCTTGACGTTAACAACTCGAGTTCTACCATCAGGTCCTGAATGGACGGCAGTGACTCGACCAATTTTCCATTCATATCTAGGTGTTGTATTGTCAACAAGAACGACTACATCATCTACTTGAATGGGTTTACTCTCCTTCGTCCATTTAGTCCTTTTAGTAAGTGTGGGCAGGTACTCTCGAACCCATCGCTTCCAGAAGGAGTCCGCCAACCTCGACGATTTTCGCCATTCTCTTCTTAGGAATCCAGAGTCCGGGTTCTACATTGGAACTGGACAATCTCCATTACTTGAACCCAATGAAAAATGGTTGGGTGTGAGAGCTTCATGGTCGTTGGGATCTATAGAAACCTTTGTAAGTGGTCTGGAATTGGCGATTTTCTTTGCTTCCGCAAAGAAAGTTTGTAAAGTTTCATCTCTCAACAACTGATCGTGCAATACCTTTCCTATAGCCCGTTTCACAATCCCAATCAATCTCTCCCATGCTCCCCCCATGTGAGCAGCTGTCGGAGGGTTGAATTTGAAGTCAATTCCTTTAGAAGACATGGAATCGATCAACATTGGTTGTTTTGGTAATGCAGGAGTTTCCTGGTCATCTAAAAAGCAGCAAAATGTTGCTGTTCCTACACGACTGAATCTGAGTATATGGCTCTTTCAACATCTTGCAGACAATCTTCATGGATGCCATTCGTACAGAAAGATTTAGGAAATGTTACCATACCAATGTTGTATTGTGATAAGCAGGCAGCAATCCATTTGCCAGCAAATCCGGTAGTACACCAACGAAGCAAACATATCGACGTGCATCAGCATTTTGTTGCCGGAAGGACATCAGACAGACTACAGAAATGCCTTATTTATTGTCCTGCTATAAAATTAGCAAAGCCACAGCGCAAAGCCTGCAGAGGTGTTTGTTGATTTATATATTATTTCTCCAGCATGGAAATGATTTTTCAAATTTCATTGTACACGTTCCCAAAGGAAAATTTTAAATTCTGATGCACATATACAATACATTCCAGGTATATTACTCTGTGATAGTCATGGTAGTGAGTGCTGTTGCCATTTCAAAAATATCCTCGTTTTTCGTTGTTGAGATTATTCTGGTTTGTGCCAGGAAGAGAAGTTATTTATGAATTCCATATCACACCACAATAACATCTGTACAACACACCCACAATGCATCCTGATGTTCCTGATCCTATGAGCAATTAATATCTCATCTGATGCTGTCAATGTTTTTCCGAGTTGGACACCCATAGAATAATTCATGAGCTTATCTTTCTCAGATTTATGTTATACACCTTTTGTTATCAGCCTTCATAAATGCGGAAAACCGCTACAGAGAGCTGAAATTAATATCGCGTCACGATTGGCTGATATATTTATATGAAATTCGAGATTTATTTACCGAAACGTGAATCTACAGGGGCTGATTTACGATGTATTCGATCTCACGTACCTAAGCGATGCTCCAGTTGGGGGTGAATTTGCAATGAAGTTCATCTTCGATGTTATATATACTACGGAATTATCAATATGAACAGAATCGTGGAAAAATGTGGAATTTATTGCTTTTCTTTTTCTATAGGCTCATGAATAGATGGATGAAAATCGGGTAGGAATCGGGTAGTTGAGCACAGGGGCGGTGGACAAAGCGGAAAAAGCCGATTGAGAACTCAACCGGCCTTCTGGATTTTTCGTATGCATAAATACGTGCAGTGGAGTAAATCTCCTCCTTTCACGTTCTTTCATCAGGAATAATGTCAACCTTACTGTCTGTAGGTTAATCGAGGAGGTGGAATATTCATTTATCGGAATTTGCGGGATATTTTTTTCTCGTCTCTATAAATAGAAATATCAGTATTATTTCAATTCACCTGTTGAAGTAAAGACAAATCGGATGATTCGCTTCAAAATGTAATTGTGCTTAAAATTCGTTTTAGTCATCGATACCTTTTGTGTGGAAAATATTCCATATTTGTTCGCATCTCTCTACAACATCGAGGAGATGATTTTGTTTTGGTAAGTTTGAACCTTTTCTTCTTTTCGACTCAAAATATCATGTGATAGAATGAAAAATAGAATGCTCGTTATTTGCACCCAATAAGTATAGTCTCCATCAAGCGCATCGTTCAGGAATAGGTATACTCACGGACTACTGGAAATAGATTCATATTCTTTTGATCTAACCGGGAAGAGCTCTGTTTTTCAATTCATCTTCAATCAAAACGCTATACAGGGCGTTATTTATTTGATGGTTAAAAATACAAGATATGGTTCCTTAGCTCATTTTGAGGAAAAATATTCATATGAACATATTACCCTACACTTCTTAACTTTCGAACTATAGGGTGTTAATATTTCAAGACACAATTTATTTTCATTTATCATAGATATTTTCGTGAAATTTGACCGGGCACAAACGTTCAGTATGAAGTCTGACCATCACACCAACCAGCTGTTTGGGAATATCGGTCACGTTACAAACCTGCCCACAAAGTTACCACGTTGACTTTTGATGGGAGTCGAGTCAAACATTTACCATTCTAGTATCACACAGCCTAAGTGGAAAATAAAATGAAAAAAACATTTTTCAGATATTGCGAATGATGCCAGGTCTGGTTTGAAGGGGTTGGAGTTGAGGATGGGTAAGAGAAGTGTATCGGGATTAACAGCCTGCTGTTTGTGGAGTTTCTGAGATTTTCCCTTCCTATATTAGCTTTGACTACAAACGAAAAAGGGACTTTGGTACTACCCCCAATATACACTGATTCTATTTCCTACTGATCAGCGAATACTCAAACATAATACTTATGAATATTCCAGGAATAGAGTTTCAATAAACAAAACCTTACCTTTGACGTATAGTAGCGAATGCTTCGAATAATCGGTGCCGATTGAGTTTTCAGCCACACATTCATATTTTCCGTGATCTTTTTCTTCACTCGATAGTATCTGAAGAGAACCTGAAACAAATCATAGGTATCAGAAAATAAATTAACACTACCTGACCTGAGGTATACAGCAGTCAGCTCAGCAAACTTATTCAGTTCATTGAATATTTTGTTAAATTGTAATGTTTCTCGTGATATCATGGGAGAAGTTATTTATATATGTATTTCAATATTTTTTAACTTCATATCTATATATAAAATATTGACCAGAAATGTTAATTATCTCACGAAATATATTTTGGAAATTTGTAAAAATTTGAGGAATTCTGATGAGCCGCGCAGTAGTAGATACGCCACTAAATTTAGTCTCCATGATTGGGGATGGTATCGATGGAGTTGGAAATTCCTATATTACTGGTCTTATTTACCATCGCCCCAATATGCTTTATACAGGGTGTTACATAATTCAATACAAATATTTTAATGACATATTCCTGGGGTCAAAATAAGACTTTTTTTTCCTATGAACATGTGTCCTAAAATCCACCCCCTCCAAGCTACAGACATCGCAAGATGCGCAAAAAAAATCTTAAATTTTGAATTCTGGCTACAATTATGCATCAAATATTTTGAAAATTCACAGGCCCTTGTATTTTCAGACGATCTATTCATTTCTTGATTCAAAAATAAGGTAACTCGAATCGAAAGGGGTGAATGAGGATTGCATACAGATGTTTGTAGCTTGGAGGGGGTGGATTTTAGGACACATGTTTATAGGAAAAAAAAGTCTTATTTTGACCCCAGGAATATGTCATTAAAATATTTGTATTGAATTATGTAACACCCTGTATATCAACACCAAATTGAGGCAATTCGCCATTATCTTCCAATATCATATTCATTTAGAATTTTTCGGTCTATTTTGAGGTGCCAAAATCATCAATAATGCCACGGTAATTTTAAAATGTCTAGAAATTTACCGTGAGTAAAAACTGACGTCACGATTTCGTAAGTAGGGGCAGACCATAGCACAGTTGCCATATGTCAATTACGATTGGGAACTTTAGAAATATTAGCTATTCAATAATCCATAGATTCTCAATAATATATGAGTAATTGATATTTCTAATTAGTATTATAAAATCAATTGTCTCAAAATGTTCCCTGATGTGTTGTGGCTTATTGCTTACATTACAAAGAGGACATTCGACCCGGTAAACGCTCGTGTAAACGTGAAAACACTTCGTGTGACTTATGGGCGTGGTCTTGTCAGTTCTCATCATTCAGCACAACGTTGCCAAGTCTCCAACATTTACATAGTATTTTGTTATGGAGGATAAGAAATATTTGGACTTGCTGGTTGCTCGAAAAAATCAAGAATCAACTGTAATATTATTGGTTTCTCCTTTTATGGTTCATTCAACGACAGAACTCCAACATTTTCTTCGATACCTTGATTATATGATTGCCTTGGCAACCTTCTATAAAGCACAGATCCAACCTGTCCTGGAATACTGCATATCTCGAGTGCAGCACCCAAACATACCCTGGAACTGTTGGATTCTGTCCAAAAAAGGGCGATTCGACTCGTGGGTAATGCCTCGCTCACAAACTCACTCACTTCTCTGGAACACCGTAGAAAAGTTGGCGAACGAACTGGCTCTGTTTTATAGATATTTTCATGGACGATGCTCTTCTGAAATATCAACAATTGTTCCTCCCTCGGTTCCTCCCTTGGCTGTCCCCGCGAGATTAAACCATCGAGTTAAGGCTTTGCAACCTTTTGTGGTCACTTTCGAGACCTGCAGAACATCTCTTTCCAAAGACTCGTTCATCCAACGAACAGCGAGGCTCTGGAGCACATTGCCAAGGAAGGTGTTCCCCGAGGCATATAACCTCCAGAAATTTGAGAAGAACACCAATTCCTACCTTATTTTCCTTGGTTCTTACGATGTTCTCTGAACATTACAGGATATCTCTTCTCGTGGGAACCAGAGCATAAAAAAAGTGGAGTAATGGGGGAGACCACTGATTTTTTAAAATGACATTATCGTGAACTCTATACTGAAAAACTACCAGCGAATTAATTTTGAATTTCGTCATTCATGCTAAGACGATGGAAAAAATAAATTAGAATATGTCCATTTCAAAACACACAATTCCTGCGCCATTTGAAATTTTGTCAATTCATTGGTGTGACTGGTGCGACGTCTTATTCCCAACACGCCTATTGTCCTTGAACTGACCAATCACGCTGCAACACTGCAGAATGACGATGTATCAGAGAGAGATATAGCTACAGTTCGGGACTAATACGTCACGACTCCATCATCATATTTGGCTGTTTGAAATATCGAATGAAATATGCTGATTTCAAAACTATATAGATTCGATTCCCTTCAACTTCAACTCATAATATTGATTGTACATCAAACGTGAATCATGATTCGTCGATTGAAAGAGGTTTGCACGGATTTCTCCTCTTAGTGGTCTTCCCCATTCAATATTAGTCCACTAGACCATTGAATGCTTATTATTCACCAGTCCACTCGCCGAGCCACTCGCCCATTGGCAAAATTTACTATACTGCATCCCCCCTCCCCAATAAGTCTCTTTCGGTTCGTCCATGTTTCCAGGTAATCTGAGGCGTTTTCCTGTGGCTCCTAAGGGGACCATCTCGGCTGGTGTCGGTTTCCCTGGCGTTCTGCAACTACCATCGTTATTGCCACGCGCTTCACGTTAGACGTGCCATACGACGCCGGAATTTGTTAATGCGCTAATCCTGTTATTTTCTTTTTGGGAAATCCGCGCGAGGCGCCAGGAAATTTCACGGCTGAGGTGAGCGCGTCGTGTCGCGAGAAAATTCCAGGGATCAAAGTTCGTTCTGGGGAAATTCTAGCTGCTGATGAGGGAATTTGATACCGATTCGTGATTCGAGAGGAAGTGGAGGCATTCCGAGGCAATAATTCGGTATTATATGATTCATAAAATAAATTAATGTATAGCTTTCACTGACAGAAAAGTCGGATAACGTCGATTAAAAATCGAGCAACTAACGAAAAAACTTAGGGGAACTTAATCCAGGGGTGGACTCGTTTCGCAGACTGAAGGGCAATGAATCCCTGCACCCCTTACTCCGAAGGGAGAAATTTCTTGAGAATTTATAGAGAATTGAGAGTGTTCTGAAACTTTCAGGTGACGAGAAAAAAGTTTGACATTTCAGCTATGTTGACAGGTTGAAAAATGTAACTTTTCCCGGATATATACACCGTGTCCCAGCTAAAATGTCCCCCCTGTAAAAAATCAACCGCGCAATCGAATGACTTGAAATTTGGTCACCCAGTATATTATTTGATGATGCTCACTCGAAATATGCTATTGAATAAATCGTAGGTATACAGGGTCACACCAAAGTACACCTAAACTTTCCTATTTGAATAGGGGACACCAAGTATATTATTCCATATTCAATTAGAGTTCATTATTACAAGTTCAACAATTCCGGGTTTGATGGGATTTTTTCAAACGACTACGAAGATATGGCAAAAAATTTTAGCTGGGATACGGTGTATATATATATACCTCGATGCCCTAGAAGTGGTTCGGATTCCACTATGAGCAGTAGGTCCCGCTCTTTCTAACCCCACACAAGTTTCGACTTCGGGGGAGTTAGTTCCCAACTTTGAAGTAGCGATATACAAATTTTACAAAAATATACACTGTTGTTGGCTTTTGTTATGCTATACAGGGTGTTTCATGATTCGTTTGCAGGACTTCAGGATCCGTTACCTCGTCCAAATTTCTTTCTCTTTTTTCGTGAGGCCGTCTTCGACATTTTTCAAGTTTATTTCCTCCATTACTTCTTTTTCAATAAAGAGACCAGATATGAATTTCAAATAATTATCTTGAGAAATATCAGGTTTCAACGAATCTATCATGGTGAAATCATAACTTCTGAAATATTAGATGTATCAAAATGAGATATTTTTCGAAAGAAGATTTCGAATATCAATTTGTTTATGATGTGTGCTTTGGACTGCTGGTGCTGGTGAATGACATTTCTTGTCAGTGACTAAATTTTGGTGTGAGCTAAAAGTCAATACTTTTTCGATTGTAACACTCTGTATCCTTCTCCACAGCAATATTTCAATGAAGCATTTTTAGTGCTATCGCCACATTTTGGTTCAAACAATCTGCTCTCAGCCTATGTCCCAATCCAATAGTTATGACTCATTCTGTATAATCCTAAGCTCAAAATATGAAGATTAAACCTAAATGACCTACATAAAATGTGTCTTCTGTCTGAGTAACCATCATCAAAATCTTTATTAGAGAGTTTAAAAATCATTTATGCCTATAATACTTTGAATCTTATTGCCATTTCATTGTCATTCTTGACGAGAAGTGTAGATACTTACTATACACCCTACTAAATCATGAAAAATGAAAGTTTCATGAAGTCTTCATAGTGCAGAAAAGAATTGTACGATGTCTTGCCAGTGTTCCTAGTGGCACCACATGTAGGAAATTATTCAAAAAATACAAGTTACTTCCCCTATGTGGGTTATATATCTTTGAAGTTTTAACTAATATACATAAAAAACGAGAAAGTTTAAAAAACATAATTCAGTACATAGTTATTAGACGCGAACAAAGAATAATCTCTATTTGCCCAACGTACGTTTGACGATATCTCAGAAACCATCGGACATATTGGGACTCAGACTATACAATTCTCTTCCCGAAGAATTAAAATTGATCAATGAACTGCATACGTTCAAAAATAAAATGAAAATGCATCTCCTCGACCTGCTCCTATATAGTTTGAACGAATTTTTTTAATCCCCTTTTCTTTATAGTTAGACTGTATGTTTTATTGTATTTCATATATCCAAATATTTGTACTGACTTGACTTGTCCGATAGCATATAATTGCTCTGTGGATTAAATAAACTGGAACTTGAACTTGAACGGTTGCTTTCGAATTATCTAAGGCCACAGCCGAAGATTTTCCATGGTTTTAGTATCAGACGACAATCCGTTCACCATCACATAAAGCGATATGTCTGAAA